ACCACACTTTGTGGAATTTATTGTGATAATAATAAAAGTAACTTAAAAATCTACTTTTGTTACCAAATATGTTCACAGAGAGCCAAGCACTGCTCTGAAAATAGATGACCCGTTATCAGATGGCCTACTTCAGTACATGAGTTAAAAACACTGCAACTTTAGGATTAATGTCACACCAACTGAATTCAATTACGTTTTTAAAGTGGGGTATTTACCGAACCAGTAGCATTTAAATGCTCCAAACAGGTAAACTAACAGTTCCAACAGGACATCAGTCAGAAGATAGAAGCCATATTGGATTCTGAGGCCAGGGTTGGCTTATGAACTTCTGATTTTTTACACAGCTTTGGGTAAGCTGTTTATTTTTTCAAACTAAAAAATAAATAAGTACAAGTGGACACCAGCAGAAATAATGTCAAAAGTTAAATAAATGTATAGAATTACCAAAATGTACCAGTACTAACTTACATTTTTTAATGAGTTGTGACTATACTTTTCTTATTTTATTACCGTAATCCATTACTTTATTGTGATTTAAATATATGTATATGTTTTTATTTACTTTCAATTTACTATTTTGCTTTCTAGGGATTGCAAACGTCCGCCACATTTAATTTGTTGAAATTCCTTTTATAATATCCTGCACTTGAACAAATCTGTTGATGGTTTTGAAGGCAACAAATACACAGTTTCTCATTATTCAAAGAGGAAATATTTATGATTTCAAAATCGACCAAAACATTTCCTGATCATACTTTTTCCTCTGATCAACTCTTAGTAAGGTTCTAGAATTTTTATATACAGTAAATATAAACATGCATTTGCTGTGGTTGTACTTATTTTGAAAAGTTTTGAGCACTTCGGCTCTGATTACGTTCAGCCTTGTAATCAAGTGATGTCAGTTCAGGGGCCACGGTCAAAGTGACACGCTGAAAGCTGAAAATGCTCTTGACTTTGTCCTGAGAATTTGATTTTTGTGGTAATTATGTGTGAAACTGCTAATTGTCTGGGCTAAATGGTGGAGCCAAAATGGGGCTCTATGCTCTTTTAGTTGTTACAACTGTTAATTGTGGAAGACACAGACGGCACAATTTCCTAGACTCGTCTGTCGCGCATTATATTTCACTCAAACAGGATAAAATTTAACAGAGCTTTGCGAGGAGCAAAATTGCTTCAAGATTGTTGTGTGACAGTGGAAAACGCAATTCATTTGCACTCTTCTGTTACAGAACAAAAAGCATCTTGATTTTCACTCCATCAAAGTGACAAACTTTCAATATTTCAGCCAGTTTACTCAACTTCAAGGACTTAAGAAGGGCAGGAGGGAATATTGGACTGCATAATGGCCAATTCATTCTCTGAAATTGACGGGAGAAAGGAAAACAGAAAATTATATTTTTCAATGAATATTGAAATAAACCACGCTATTATGATCACTTTAAAAAAAAAAGAGAGAGAGAGAGAGATGTATCCAGAGAGGCATCCTTCCATGCAGATCAGGACACCAAATACGCTGGAAAATAATATGCACGACTGAGATTATTGTGTAAAGATTCTGCAACATGCAATCAAAGTGGGCCCTATTTTCCCCTTCATCAGCTGTCCGGCGTAAGCGCTGGCAGCAAGAGGAATCCAATTTAAATTCCACTCTACAGGGAGATGGTATTGTTTCATTTTATGTGTGCTTTGACATTTCTGGCTGCTAATATGGAGTAAAATCGAGAAGTATTTACATAAATATGGCATTAAACTGTATTAGAAATTAAGAGTGACACATTTTCTGTGGCGACTGTGGAATGAGGGAAATGATTGAGTTTCTGTGTCGAAAGGTTGAGAAGACAACACATGCTGGGTGAAGACGCAGGGAGAGTGTTAGCCTGTTGCTGCCCGCAAAAAAGTCCACCGTAGCTCAAGTTAGCAACGACACGAAAAAGCCAGGAGCTCGCAGGAAACAAACGTGTTTTATAAATCTACGTTCATTTCTATGCATGGAGAGAAGTCGATTTTAATCACGTTTAAACAGATGTAGAAATCCTGAAGCCATTCTAAATCTACTTTGACTCCAACGTTGGTGATCTTGGAATCAGACATTGTGTTTTAAGGCAAACGTTTTACTTCACACAAACCATGTCCTGACTTCTGCTCCCAATATGTGTCCTAGCCTAGAAACCAATACTTAAGATTGCTGTTTTTATATCATAGCTCCTAAAGGAAAATTTGAATTGCCCAAAATCCGTATCAGCAGGTCAAATCCTACATAATCAATATTGGTAATTTAATCATTCTAGCTTGTAGACTACACAGCCAAAATAAAATGCTAAATGTTTACGTAAAATGGTTCTGGATCAAAAAACATACATTATCTTGAAATTTTAATGTAAAGACCAGGCTGGAATCCACAAAACCTACATCTGTGGAACTTTACATAAGAAAACTAAGACAGGAATACTTTTACAACCACAAAGGTACTATAGTCGATCTTGCAATTAGATGCAACTAAAAGACAAAACAACATACAGTAATCGGAAGTGTAACTTGAAGCCCAAAGCAGCAACTAATACGATAACAAGCAGATAGAAAAAAAACAATGCTTAAAATATTTCCAGGTTCCCTGCCAAGGAACTCTGCAATAAAAGTCCGAAGCTATGAGTAGTGCAAAAAGCTACTCAAACATACTTTGTGCTTAGTGCTTCATTTCTCATAAGTATGCTCTCTCCCAATGATCAATGTCTTCATGCAAATCAAGACTTCTTGCTTAGACCTACAGTGGAAAGAGATTTACCAAAATAAATCTGCATTAAAGGGTCATACATATTTCATGGATGTAAAGTGCAGTAAAAGCAAACCGTTTTGGACGCTGGGGCTCCACAAATATCACAACAAAGCTGAAAATAGGAAGAAAATGAGTCACGGCATTACGTCATCCGGCTCGGGCTTTGGGAAAACAGCAGCAGATTGGGAACTGTCTGTCAATAATGAGGCTAAAAGATGAAGAAATGTAAAGAGATATTAACAATCATTACAGTCATATGAGAGGTGTGTAGTAGCAGCAGGCCAACATGGATTTGGTTTCAGGTTACCTTCCCAAGTCACAGAGCTCTTAGGCTCACTCCTCACTGTTTGGTTCCTCTAATGCTGCAGGCAGAGTCCCTCAGCACTGTACTGACACAGTCCCCTAAGTACTGAACTGCCTCACGACCAGTTACAATAAAAACATTCCTCACAAAGAGTTAATCTGTCGTAAGGACACACACACGCACACACTCCCATATCTGTGTCATCACTGCTCAACCACAGATCCACAATTCAACGGCTGCCTTATATTGAGCCGACTTTAATGAGTTCAGCGTAATAAACTTTTTTTTTTGCCTTTTTCATTACACAAACCATATTCTACAATGCGAAATGTCTGAATAAATTACAAAAGAAAAAAAAAAGTTAGACGGCAGAGAATATTTCAACCTTCCCTTGTCAGAAACCCTTACTGTGCAGTCGCTCAAATTTACAATAACCATTAAATTAAGTAAAAGGGTTAAAATGCTAGGAGGCAATATTGATAATTCCATTGAAAACTCAGGGGGAGTTTGTCAATATTAATTTTCCTGAACCCAAAGGAGCATCCTGACTGGTGTGTCATTTATTCACGAGGCCTGAATCCCGTTCTATGGAGCTAAATCGACCCCTTTTTTTAGGACTAGACACCCTCCACCCCCTTTGCGAGCAAAAAGCTATAGCTGCAATCTCTGACCTTTCTGGACCAGTTCAACCAGAGGGAACAAACAAAACACTGAAACGCTGAAATGCTGAATGGTTTTATTAAAGCTCGATTTGGCCAAACATTAAAGAAAAGTCTCTGACCTTTTTTCTTCAAGAAGGCCTTTCTGGTGGCCAGGGGGCTCTCGCGTACCTTCGGGTTCTGCAGAAATTTTACGGCAGTTGCAACCTGGAATGAGACAAATCGGATTTATTTCCTCGTAATCACGTAATGTGAGTAACCCTAAAGGAAACTGATGCTGTTAACACTCTAAACAAGAGTCTAGACCTTCCTTAAGAAAAAGGTTCATTATAAATCCACCGCAGCTAAAAAGAAGGGGGGGAAAAAATAAATGGATTCCATCTGATAGTTGCATTTACACCCCTCCTCCTTCTCCCCTCGCAGTCAGTAGTGAGGAAAAAGACCACCTGACCACTTTCCTGCTAAATGTGGAGAATGACCAAATCAGCAGTTATAAAATTAGCCCATCAGGAGTGCCGGACAAATGGAGTATGGAGCTTAATTTGCTATTACCCTCTTAAAGACAAACTTCCATTCTTAAGTGCGCAGTGGAAGAAAATCTATACTTAATGCAGAGGTGATCATTTGTATCTAATAACTTGAGAATCCGAGGCAGAAAACTTCTGTAATTCTTCCAGTTAAAAACCTGCCGTGATCAAATCACCCCGCCTGACTGTTGTAATGACTTGAAACGTTAATGCACCAGAACGTTAAATAGCATCAGAACATCAGTAGTTTTAAGTGCACCACGTTCATCGATTCTATTATGTTTTCCTTCGAGATGCACCTTAATTTTCCACCCAGTATGCATTTCCAAGAATTGGAGGCAGGAGGTAGTGCTGGTGGAGGGGGGGGAGGAGGTATCTTCCTCAAATGGTATTAAAACATAAATTTGAAGTGGGCGCCGTGAAGTGGCGCCTCCTAAAATGGATAAATATGTAGGGAACACAGAGAACGGAGAAACACACTGGAGGGGAGGTTTCGATGACTTATTATCGCACCTGTGGTCCCCATGATTCAATTGTAAAAGTCATCCCTCTAATAGCTTGAAAGGTTTTGATTACTCTTCTTTTCTCTTAGTGTTGAAAGATACAAAGTGATTGAGCGCCCTGCCAGTGGTAATTCATTTTGGGTAATGCATATACTATGAACCCGTTTCAATCCAAAAGAATCGTAGTTTAAAGTTGTTTGAGGGGCGGAAGTGGCAGGGAAGCTGTTTAAAAAGTTGAGGTTCTGTCACCAAGGTGCAATGATCGACTTCTCTGAAAACCTGGCTGGCCCTCTCTACACTACAGGAATATACATCAAGGAAGCGAAGCAATTTTACTGATGTGATCATTGCTCAAATTATTTGGAGAGATGATGGTGTTCAAAAGGTTTCACAATATCTATGCACTTCCCAGAATGTGGAAATGGCTGCATCTTTATTAAAACTAGGCACCCTCAACTTTTATAGTGAGGATGGCATTTTCATTATGAACACGCAACCTTTGCTTTGGGCCAAAAGATACACTGAAAGCACTGAGAATTTTCATTTGATACCGTGTCATTGTTCATGAACAGGACCTTGCAAAGGTACTTCTTAACTTTTGAAGTTTTTATGTCAAAATCACAAACTTCAACGTATTTCGTTTTCTGTGATATTTTTTAACAGATTGTAGCTTTGAGTAGAAGAAAATGAGAAGGGAAACATGTTTTTATATATATATATATATATATATATATATATATATATATATATATATATATTTTTTTTTTTTTTTTACAAATAAAAACCAGAAAACTAAAGAAAATATTTGTAGTGTGAAAATTCATAAACACAAGTCTATCTGTGATTGTCTCTAAGCAGTTTTACACTTGTAAAACTTTTGCTCATTCTTCATCCCAAAACAGCTCTAGTTCCCTCAGACTGAATTTGGAGCATCAATGAAGAGCATTTTTTTAATTATTTGACTGGTTCACTCTGAGTGATGAATAATGAATAAGCTTTGATCTAAAACACCCAACCGAAGCGCTTGGTTGTATGTTTAGAGTCGCTGTCTGCGGTAAGGTGAATCTCTGGCTCAGTCAAGTGTTTTGCAGCTGTAAAAGCTTTTTTTTTTTTTTTTTTTTGGTACTGTTCTCCATGTAGCTTTCCCCATCTTTCCAGGTACGACTTGCTTCCCAGTCGGCATCATCTTCTCAGCATGATGCCGTTACCACCATGTTTCATAAAGTGTGTTCAGAGCCCTTTGCAAACATAAATGATGCCTCTCTGATTAATAATGTCCAGTTTGTCAATTTAGTGTGTTTGCACTTGCGACAGTCTCTCCATTTCTGGATGAATTTGATTCAATAATTGCTAAACATTTGGCATATTGTTTCAGAAGCTAACCCTGCCATAAACTTCTTCAGAACTTTCTGTCTGCTGTGGTCCTTGGTCTTCATGGTGCTGTTTGTTCTCTAATGTTCTCCAACAAACTTTTGCGGCCTTCACTGTACAGCTGGATTTACACTCAGTTTGAATTAAACATAAGTTGACTCTGTTTATCAACTAGGTGCGTTTTGAAGGCAATTAGGTGCACTGGGTTTTATTTACGGGTGTCAGTTTAAAGTGGGATGAAAATTTATGCACACCCAATCATCTGGATTTGGATTAAGCAATCATGTTGAAATCTGTGTATCACTTTCTTTCCACGTTAAAGCTCTGCACTATTTCACTTTGGCTCATGAGTTCATAATTGTGGCAAAATGTGAAAAAGGTTCAAGAGCATGAATGCCATTTCAAGGCACTGCAGGTGATAACTTAGAAAAAAGAAGACAATGAATCTAATATTCTATTTTTTCAGTCCAGGAAACTACAAAGCGGTGCAGACTCTATAAGAGGTAATGACCTATTAGAGAAAAGAATACGCTGAATGAGCAGTCCTTGTTTACACTGCCCTAAAGTTTCAGTTGTCCAATTATTGACAAGAAAATTGTATCAATGTTAACAGGCATAAGTATGATACCTCAGAAAGGACCACGGCTTGCTCAGCGGCAGACTAATGAGGCAAATGTCCATTTGGTTAAAACCGTAGTGGTGGATCTTCTGGGAGAGGAAAAGTGCACTTCTTAGCAGATGACATAGAGGCTTTGCACAAGTTCCATCCAGACATCTCAATCAATTATAACCACATTGCACTGATTTCACTCTTGTTATTGACTCATGGATCACCCCAGTTATAGTGTTGGGTAGCACACCACTGGGCTTTTAGGGTGCGCATGATGGATAACAGTACAAGATGCATTTGCGATGCCGGTATAAATAAGAACAATTTTTATTAATTTTCTCTTTTTTTTTTTTTTTTGGGGAGCAACTAGTAAATTTTAATCTTAAAGAAAAACTGGGAAACTTTGTAAAGCTTTGACTACGAATGCACCAAAGTGCTCCATGTAAAGTGCAATAATCTTTGCAAACCAGATAACCAATAAAGTGTCAGGTAAAGCTGAAAAAGAGGTGAAAACTCAATCACAGGAAGAGATAACATTAACCAATACACTTAAAGAGAGTGAACTTGATGAACAGACAAGATTACAGAAATGTTATTGAGTTTGAATTGGACCAGACTTTGCACTGCACTCGTGTGAAAATTACAACGGTGATGCCTCGAACTGTGAGAAATGAGGCTGGAATCCAATTAAGTTCGAACCACAGGGATGGACGCCTGAGGGAATCCGTGTAACCAGTTGTATATTTTTGCTCTAACTAGTAATGGCACTTAACTATAACGTACCGCAAGACCTATGGATGTTATACAGATGTGCATTATGGGGAGTAGGTAGGTTACCTGAACACTTGGAGTATCTGATCGACTCCAGAAAAGCCTTAAATTATCCTTCATGTGTTGAATCTGACTTGTCCAAGTGTTTCAAGTTTATTGGTTTTTAGTAATATAGAGGTTTTCAGGTGAAGAATTCAGTTCAAATCAAAAAGCAGCTCATTAAGTCCACTCATTTGAAACCACGATATAGTAAAAAAAAAAAAAAAAGGTGTCGTCTATATTTACATGGGTTAATCCATGATTCTGGTGGCTTGAGTAAAACTATCATGGTTTCACTATAACTCAGCACCACCATTGTTGTTATTTTTTTTACATGCAAAAGTCCAGAGCCTATGTGTTTTTAGTAGGCCTGTATGACGCCTTAGTAACATTCGCAAACAACAGCGATGGACAAAAAAGACGCTTCTCTTGGTCCACGTTTGAAGCATTCATTTTTGCTTCAAACGTTCTGATGGGACACCGGAAAAGACTGTTGCTGTTTCCAAGTTGTGAAGACTGGAGATAGCCTCTTACCGAAGTTATTCAAGCCTAAAATAGCATTTCAGTGCCAAGCGGGTTGCAGCAAGCAAAAACGTCCCCAATCCCAATGTCAGCGTCCACAGTTCACATTTGTACAGAAGTATTTTTTCAAAGACATGAATGATCATTAGTTCCTGAAACACATGAAAGCTGAGGTGGTATAATAGGACTTTGCACTAATGTGATGGTTAAATAACCTAAATAACAGATTGAAAACAATAAACATCTTTGTTGTTAAGCTCATCTATTTATTCAATAATAAATGATGCATCAAAACAGCTATGCAAATTTTTCATCCAAAATCCAGAATAAGATCATAGATTAATAAAGCAATTTTCATTTCATTTTCATCTGTCACCATCTTTTAATTTTTTTCATTTCTTTTCTATTTTTTTTTTTTTTTTTTTTACAAAAACCAATCCCTCAGTGTACAGGACAACTCCTTACGGTCCGTTTTGCGGAGACATTAAGGACACTGTAGGACAAAAAGTTGGGTCTTAGTACAGTCGAGGGCTAAAAGAAAATCATTAGCAAGTATAGGATTCAGTCTCAGTGTGAATCAATTCATTCCAAATTGCCCTGGCCTGTGCATTTGTGAAGTGCCCCTGATATAATAACAGACTGGTAGACATGATCAAAAATCGTGTTAGGATGGTCTCAAATTTCTCCGCTTCGAACACATGTTTGGAGGACCAAAAGCGAGAGAATGTGAGACGGCAAAAAAAAAAAAAATGAAGCTTTATATTAATTTGGTGCTTTCATGGGTGATTTGCTATTAGGGCTGCAGCCTTAAATGACTTAACCCAATACTGTTCTGATATCAGAGCCCTGCGAGAAAGGAATTAAGTTTTAATGCAATTATTGTATTTCCTTTGGTCGCCTGACTGCTTGATGTGGCCACCGGTGCTTTTTAATCTTTTTAAAAGAGCAGGTTTAAACGGCCTTCTAATTGTGACACCTTCCCTGCTTTAATGTTGACCTTTAGCAGGAAAAGGCAAGGCCTCATGGGAGCGGCTATGGGGAATTATTGACCCTGGGAGACATCAGGAAGTGAGATGCTGACCCAACCATTTAGCTAACAGTTGGTCAGACACTGGTGCTTTAAAGGCCCGGTAAGAGATGAACCCCCAAAAAAGGATGAAGCTTCATTATTTATCTGATTTTCTGATTAGATTAATTTATAATCCAAGAAATCTTCACGCAATACAAAGCGGCTTAGTTTTCCAAGTGTTATGCTAACTAAAATATAGTTAATCATTACTGAATGAACCCAGGGTTTGAAATTTAAAGGTTAGACTCAACGTTTCAGTAGATGAAAAAAAGGGTCATGGAAAACATCATTGACATTTGCTAGGCAAAGGTTTAAAAATAACAACATACAGCAGTGTATCAGTGACAGAGCCACGGGCAGGGCTGCAAACATGACATCAAAGGCACATTATGCAATTTGTAAAGGAGGTGGGGGTTTGTTGGACGGAAATCAAGTTGTTGTTTTTTTTTTGTTTTGTTTTTTTTTAAAAAGGCCACTACGTTTCCAGACCAAACTTTCCATTCAGAAGCACTTCACCGTCAAACATGGAAACGTTGAATGAGGTTTGAGGGCGTGAAACGCAGAAGGCCGAGTAACTTATCCGACGAGGACGCTGTCGAGCTGCGCAAAGAACAGATGAGACCACGTTTTGTTCTTCAGAAATTTTCCGCAACGATCAGATGCATTTTATGATTCAGTTCGACGAGTACATCAGATTGTGCGATCGATTGCCTCATTTTTTATATAATCATTAGTCAGAAAAGGGTTTACCCGATTTTTTTTGTGTGTGTGTGAAGTATGAGGGGGTTAAGAACAACACAAAGCAACAAAGTGTTCTCTTCTCTTTTAAGCCTGAGCAAAACTAACAGATATAAAGTCAGCTCTGACTTCTTTTTTTTTTTTTTTTTGTGCAACTGTCAGTGTCACTGACGGGGGTTGCCTTTAGTAAACTAGAGAGATAGATGACAGTTTAGATAAAGACATCCCCCTCAATGGTGGCCTGAAAGCCCAAAGAACCGTTCTTTCTGCAGAGGAGCAACACCTCCTTTTTTTCCATTTTTAACTCGCATGTTCCTTTTAATTCAGGTAAAAGGCCCAAACGGTGAGTCTGGAGCTGCTCTGAGAGATGAGGGTCATCAGAGATTAACCCGTGGCACTTTAGCGGCGGGGGGAGACGAGGAGGAGGGGGACTCGCAGTCGAGCACAACAAACTACTTAGCTACCACAAAACATTCCTGCCCCTTCTCAGCTGCAATCCAGTAATGGATACTTCCTCAGCTCCTCAATTGGTCAAAATGTTTTCATACAATAATTTAATTCAGAAACACATTTACAAAGCAGGAGTAATCAATTTTAATTAGTTGATTTTTTTTTTCCATTCGCATAAAATTTAATGTACTGCCATCGATCTCCTTTGTTCTTTAATGCAGTGCCTCTTTCCTGTAATTTGAAGCTTTTCTTTTTCTTTTTTTTCTCCTCCTTTTGCAGTTAGCGATGACATTCTGTGACAAGCAGCGCCACATGCTTTTTAGTACCAGAGAGTAAGCAGATTAAAGTAAGAAAAATCAAAAAAAAGAAAGACAGCTCAGTTTGATACTAAAAAACTCTAAGGGTGAGCTCATAACGTGGTTCAAAAATGCATCAGAGAAAAACAAAAGGTTTGGTTGAGAAATGAGACATCGACATATCGGAAAATGCTTAAAAAACGGTAAAATGCGAGGGCCTTCATATAAAATCAATCATCAGCGATCATGGCTACTGATTTTGCAACAGAAATGTCTTATCTCACAGAACAAAAGCTGCACTGACGCTATGTTGATGATATCACTGTATGTGCCATTCAGCTATGACCTCAAAAGTTTCCAATGCAAATCTGCATGAACGGAAGGTGCAACAAATGGTTATTAATTGACTAATGCATTTATTAGTAAAGCTTTCTTTGTTTTGTATTTTTTTACTCAGAAAAAGTCAAATTGTGTAACAGGCATGTCACAATGTTAGCAGATTACTATAATTTAATTCAAACTGTGAAATTTATATTTAGATCCAATAAGCACAAAGTACATATATTTAGAGGATGAAAAGGGCAAATTAAAAGTGAACCTAACCAAAATATTTTAAACTTCAGCTACATACAAATGTATGTCAATAAATTAGAATATAGCCAGTAAGATGAGAAATTTGATTAAATTTCGTAAAATGAAAGTCATAGTTTAGATTAACAAAGGACACATTTATGTATTTCAGGGCTGCATTTATATTAATTTTGATGGTTATGGCTTTAAGTGAATGAAAACCCAAAATTCAGTTTTCATTAAATTAAACATTACATAAAAACAATAGAAAAAGACTACTTTCAAACACAGAAATATTATGTTGTTTAATCATTGGAAAGACTGCTGACTTGACAGGTGTCAAACAGTCATAGCTGCCCTCCACACCAGTCCATTTCCCCACTAGCTTGGCTCAGTTCAACTTGAGCCTACTTCATTCAGGGTTTGCAGTTTTCCAGTAAGAACTTGGTATTAACTCAGGTTTTTAGTATTTACTCAACTGCGGCATATAATCGAACCAAGTCAATCTGAAAATGCGACTTTGGAAGACTTCTGGTCACTGATTGGCTACGGTGTGGCGTCACTGGTTGAGTCACGAGAAAGACTCCTTTAAAAACTCATAATAGTGTCTGAGCATTTTCTGATCCTTTAAGGAAAAAAAAATGCAACACTGAAATCAACACCGTGGCCCAATAAAGTGCAAACATTTTTGTTCTTGGTGGCTGATGAGAAAATATAGTGGGAGCCTGACGGTGGTTTGCCACATACAAATCACGTCTCATTATTTTTCAAGCTGCCTTGCTATGACAAACCCACCCACATTTAGGTTGGTGCTCCATTGTAAAGAAAAACACCACAAATTGTGTCGAGTCAAATAGTGCTGAGTTGAGTTGGACGGAAAAGCGTCAAAGAGGAGGAAGCCACAAAATGTCCTTGCTAAAAACGTTGAATCTCCACAAAGACTTACATATAAAAGAATGTTAATGGAAAGTTGAGGGGAAAGGAAACGAGTGGTAGAAAAAGTTACAGTGTTAACCTCTGCCTTGGACTGTAAAGGAAAGCCAATTCTAGAGTTTGAGGGGGAGATTCACACCGTTTACAAGCACCACCACACACAGATTTAAAAAATACAACTATTGTATTACTGGTGTTACTACGACTAACCCAGAGAC